TTGTGTGCTCCACAGCATTTCAAATGCTTGGCTTTTGGAAGTAAATTGCCAAACCTTTCTTCTGAGGTGCCTCTGGGTGGAATTGAACCTCCAATCCGTGGGCGAATCGCCGAATGAGTTGCAGTAACCATTTGCATCACTCAGGCTTCCCTAAGAGAAAGAGTTACCATTTATTGTACTTAGTGCTTACTGTGTCAGGCTCAGACTCTACCCCCTCTCTCTTTTTAATCCCCAAGACCGTCCTATGTGGGACATTGAATCATTTCCATTAATATTTTGTGGATGTAGAATATGAGCCACTATCTGCAACAAAGATCATGCTGTAGATTTCAAAGAATTGAGATGTGACCACATTACTATTTAACAGAGATATTCCTTTTAGTTTAATCAGATCTTCCCTCGACTCACTGCCATCAAGTTGACTCTACGTGGGGTTTAAGGTATGGGCTGTAACTAAATCTCAGTATGATGGTAAAATGTGGTTTTGGAAGAGCACAGTCACTAAATTTGACTGACAGCTTCTGAGAACAGAGATGTATTTCCTAACTTTTATTTCTAATTATTGTCAGGAAATTGATGGTCAGTTATGGACACACACCTCTCAGACGTGGCCCAAATCTTCTTAGCAGGAGCAGGAGAGCAGGACTTGAGACGTGTCCATCGAGAAGGGCCTTCCTGCTATGTAATCCCGGCTTCCCTGCCTCTTCTCCTTTCCTGCTGCCCACTGGCCTGTCTCAGTCGCAGTTCTCAGCGCTCCTTTTCTTTCTACGCTTCTATTGAGCCTGGAACTTGGGATGAAAATTCTGCCCTAATAGACCTACGTGGTTTCAGGGATCAGTTCCTGGAATGCTGCACCTGCCCATTTCTTGCAGCAAATCTTAACCAGTGTGTTTCATACCCTGGGGTCAGCTCTGTTCCTAGCCCAGGGAAGTGCCTCCTTGGTGCCAGGCCTCCATGTCCCTGATGGAGTCACTTAAATTCGCTTCTGAATGAAAGGTATAAACTCTGTAGTAAGAGGCATGAACTTGTTTATGGATCGCCCTTAATTAATCAGCTTAATTCTGTGTGTCTGCTCTTTTGGAAGCTTTTGAGGTTTTATAAGATAACTTTAGGGAGTTTATTCTGTTCTTCCCTCCTCCCTTTGTTCTCTGTGAACAGCCCTGCTGGGCCGGACGCTCAGATCTTCACCAGCCTCCCAGGGAGGGGTGCCTCTACAGCAGCCCCTTTCAGAGATGGGCCTTTCCCTTCCTGTTCTTGCACTCACCCAAGTCCTAACAGCTAAACGGCATTTGTCAAAATTCAGGTACCCACACAGGTTGGTTTCTGGAGGAGCCTCTTGTCATTAACTCACTTCTAGCCACCACCCACTGGCAGTAGAGGTTTGCTTGTTCAGCTCCAGAGGAAGATGGACCAGGAAGAAAGTCCTGGGGACCTACTTCCAACCAAGAGCCACTGGAAACCCCGTGGGGCACAGCAGGCTGGGGCAGCCTTTAGTTCTGTTGTGCCTGGCGCTGCCAGGAGGCTGGCCTCTCCCAATGACATTCTTCAGGTTGAGTTTTCCTCTCCTCCCTTGCCTCCCCTCCCCTTCCCCACTTGCAGTAGCCAGGTGAGGACCTGTTCAATACCTTGCCAACATTTGTGACTTCAGGCCCTTTCCTCTTTCCTTCACGGTAGCCATCCACAAGCCACACATTGGGCCTGATGAGTCTAAGAACTCAACATCAGATTTCTTCTTTGACCATGGCCTTCCATTCTCGCTGTCTCACACTCTCCGAGCCTGCCCTTCGATCTTCCTTGAGCGCCATCTCCTTGGGGTCTTGCCTGTTCCTCACCGTCACTCCCTTTGGGTTTCACTGGTACCTCCCTGACCGGTGTTCTGCCACATCGCGCCTGCCTTGTCTGGCACACTACAACTGCTCGCCCCCTATTTCTGTGGACCCCCACCCCCATGCACACCCCAATACTGGACTGCTAAGTTTCTTTGGTATGGCATCAAAGCGTGTCAGCTGGGTCTGGCATGGAATTTAGGCTGGCAGTCTCCGCAGAGCTTCACAGAAGGTTGGCATATACCCTGCTCCACGCCAAGGCCTGCACTTGGACTTTCCCGGCCACCTGCAGCCCCGGCACTGTGCTTCTCCAGGTCCAAAATGACCTGCGGTGATCACCGCCGTCCTTCGTCCACTGAAGGCACTTTGAGGCCAACGGCTATAAACTTGAATTCCCCACCCCATTCTTTGTTTTGGACTGTGTTAGTCTGGGTGCATTAGAGAAACAAATCCACAGAAACTCACATGTATAAGAGAGAGTTTTATATAAAGGGTAAGTGCACATCAAGAAAACATCCCAACTCAGTGCTGCCCAAGCCCACAAATCCAACATTAGCCCATATGTCCGACACCAATCCACAAAGTCCTCCGTCTCACAATATACACACAATGATGCCGACTGCAGGAGGAAAGCTGAATCAGTGAATGTGTAAGCATCTCAGTTCTGGCAGGGGTCTCCACACAGCTGCTCCAGCATCCAGGGCTGCATCGGGGTAGGTCCATGTGGCTTCTCAGGGATGTGCTGCAGAAAGTGAGCCTTGCCAGCTGAAGCAGGGAACTGGCTAAGGTAGCTGCACCCTGGCCCGACCATCACAAAGCAAGAGACCTGAGAACTAGAAAGGCGAGGCTCACCGAGCCATTTATCCCTCCACCCTTCAATTAACCCCACATGTGTTTATGGGCCAGGTTGGCACAATAAACTTTAACTGTCTCATGCACCTTAAAATTTCTCTTACAAATGCCTGATCACATGGGCAAACATGAATGCCTGCCAGTCATAACAAGAGTTGGTAAGAACTTTATTTAAAAAGTAGAAGATACTCTTGCATGGCTGCTGAAGATGTTAATGGTTCTGCCTTTTTTGGAGGAAAGTCTATATAAAAAATTTGCAGCTGTGAACAAAATTGACTTTGTGCGTGTGTTTTGACTTGGCATTCCAGTTGTAGTAATCCGTCCTACCAATCACAACCTGCCTGAGTGTACAAACGTGTCTAGATGTAAAGCCTCATCCCTGACAGATAGCAACCCATCAGTGGTGCTTGTATTAAAGTAAAGCCCAGAAAAGTACAAGATGAGACGGGAACATCTTGTTGTGCCAAAAGCAAAGAAGTGTGATAGATGGGGGCAAAGGGAAAGCTCGCCCTTGAGGGAGAACAGTAGCCAGCATCAAGAAGGGATGATGGACTTAGGAAACCAGGCCTGGGTGCTAGCAGGGGTGGGCGGAAGTCTCCGTTCCTCTCTGAAATTTGCCAGTAAATCCCACAGGGAGACATAGTCCGTGGTCAGTGAAACAAGACGAGGACGGCACAGGACCGGGCATGTTTCCTTCTGTGGCGAACAAAGTGACTCTGAGTCAGAAGCGGCCGGATGGTACTTAACGACGACAACATTTAATGTCTATCCTGACCTGTTCACGTGGGATTCATTCATGAATTCATGAAGCACCTGCCGAGTGAGTGTTGAGTGTGCCACCTGCAGCCAGGAGGGCGTGGAACCTGACTTCAAAAACCTGAGTCTCACAGTGAGCTGCTCGTAAGCAAGCCCACATCAGCCTCACCTAGGAAGAATTGCGGGGCGGTGGGGGGGGTCATCAAGGAGGAGGGTCACAGAGTTGGCACTCGGAGATGAGTCGGGAGTTTGCCCGATGGTGGTGCCTGCCTGTTTCTCTGTCTTGGCTGGCGGGACATGACCATCGATGCACACATAACCCCAGTATTAGACGGAAGTAACTAACTACCCAAAGTAGAAGAAGAACTCATTGTTACTTTGCAGGAATGCTGTGTTCCTTCACACCTTTTAAATAATTAGCTTTGTGTTCCGATATAATTAAAACCCCGTGGCAAAACGCTGAAGCTCTCGGAGGGAAATGCTTCTTGCTGGCATGCCCTAGTAAAGTACATTGCCGAACAAAGAGCCAGCTGTTTGCGTCCTTTGATTCGATCGCATCCGATTTTTGGAATCGCGAGTTACACGGGCAAGATAAAAATAAAACGGAGTTGGTGACGATTTCACTTTATTCTTCTGTCAAACTGTGGCAGACTCGGCTGGCAAGGGAATAAACTCGGGGTGCGCGCGCTTCACGTATTTGAAAGGAAAAAGCTTTGAACGGCACGTGTGACTGCTTGTGAAAAGTTAATTAGTTCTCCCCCCCAGCAAGTGTTTTTCCTCTACTAACCTAGCAAGGATTTGTTTCTGATGAAGATGTCTAAGCTGTTTAGCAACATTTATTCGACAGTAAAGAAGTTTAATATCTGGTATACTTTTAAGCCGTTTCCATTGTGGGTCTGTGTCGCTGTTGCCTACAATAATGAGTTTTTAGTTACTCATTTAGCCAAGAATGTTTTATTAGGACCATTTATTGGCATAGTTATGTTCCTTCCTTCTTTGTTTTTATTAACCAGGTCCTTTATCAAGTTCATCCTCTGGTCTTTTTGTCTTGCCTCTCATTGTTGCATCTGGGACAAGCAGGAAGGGAAGGGGGGGGGGGACCGTTGGGTTTCAGGTGCTCTGAGTTCAGCACAGAAAACAGTTGTAGCTGGCAGCTGGCACAGAGGGGAGGCTGGGTTTCTTGGTGGTATTTGTGTTTTGCTTCGCATCCTGTGTAGTCATGGGCAGTGATGGCAGAGGTTTCCGGACGCTGTGTCTGGGGAAATGTGGCCAGACCTGTACAGACTTCGTCAATTGTCTGAATGGTAACACCTGTCACGCAGACGGAGTGCCTTGTGTGCAGTCGTCCTTCACTTACGAAATGGTAGCATTGTGAGAATCTCATGGTCCATTGTATGTGGCACTGCACTGTACAGACTAAAACTGTGACCCCCAACAAGTCAAACAAAAACACTCAATCTGTGCAAAACTGCCTTGTGGTTCCTCCCTCCAACGTGACTCCGAGGACGTGCCCCCTTTAGTCGGTGAATAGACATCAAAGAAAGCCCAACTATATTTCATTTTTAGATTATATAAATGGTGGAGAACTGTTCACTCATCTTTCCCAAAGAGAGCGTTTCACAGAGCACGAGGTGCAGATCTATGTGGGAGAGATTGTGCTTGCCCTGGAACATCTGCACAAGGTAAGCGGCTTCCTCCTGGGGTTGCTGTGGTGGGAGACCGGGAGATCTGTGAGCTAAAGTCATGATGCAAAGGGCAGATGTTGTGTGTGTCATTGTCTCGGTGTGAATGTCTCCTGGCAGAAGACTGCCAATTCTCCGCATTTTATATTTGCCTCTATTTTAAATCTGCTTTCTCTTTGTAGTTCCTGAGCTTCAGCTTTAGAAGGATGAATCTGAGCGATTCTTCTTCGGTTTTGTAAAAAGCTCATGAAAAATCCTTCATGCTTAGGTATTACAAAGTAGCAATAGGACCCATAGCGATCCATTCCTAAACCAGTCTTCATAGAGAAACCACGGGTCCTGATCTGTAATTCTATATGGCACTCCGAGTGGTTCTGTGTTTGGCTGTTTAACCACAAGGTCAGCTGCTTGAAACCACCAGCCGCTCTGAGGGAGAAAGACGAGGCTTGTGGTACAGCCATGGAAACCCATCGGGCAGTTCTACCCTGCCCTAGAGGGTCACTCTGAGTGGGCATGGACTCAGTAGCAGTGTGAGTGAGTGAGGTGGTCACTCGATAGCCATCGACTGCCTAAGTTTCTCCAGGGTGTGTTTCCCGATTCGGAATATGAGCCACTAGAAAGAGGCAAGTACCTGCCCTCCCTCCCCTGGGCTCTCTCTTCCCACTCCTGCCTCCATCCCTCCCTTTTCTATCATTGTCTCTGTTATTTATAGCAGAGCTAGCTACTCAAAACTTAAGTATGACGCTGTTTTAGATGATAAAACCATCTTAAACACTTAAAAAAAAGACGTTATTGTAAAATATTAATCTGAGAGATTGTTCCTGTGGGTGTTGTATTTATTTAAAGAGCAGTCATTAGTGTGGCTGTGGGCAGTCATGGTGTAGCCTGGGCTGGTGCGAGAGGTAAGGTGAGGCAGTACGGACACCACACGGGACGTGTGGACACTGTTTGTAATAACACTGTCCTCGGCTTATTTAGACCCC